TGCAGCAGGTTAGGATAATATTTCAAACATATTCCTAAAAAAATTCAGAAATTACTTAGTCTCGCCTCTTACATTTATTTTTAATCTTTGTTTACAAGTTGGGGTCTTTCCTAATTATTTAAAAAAGTCCATAGTTATTCCGATACATAAAGGTGGTGATGAAGATCTTATCACAAATTATAGGCCTATATCATTACTTCCTGCTATATCTAAGATCTTGGAAAAACTCATTAATATCAGACTGGTGAGTTATTTGGAAAATCGTAAGTTACTTTCTGATAACCAATTTGGTTTTCGTCAGGCAAAGTCTACTTCAGATGCAGTTCATGCAGTGACTAATTTTATTGCTACGAATTTAGATAAACATAATAAATGCTTAGCCATATTTCTAGACATTGCAAAGGCGTTTGATACAGTATCGATCCCCATTCTACTAATTAAGCTTGAGTCTATATCAGTCAGTTGAATCTTTTTAAGAGTTACCATACAAATCGTGCTCAAGCTACAGCAGTTGGAGAATATATTAGCACATATGCACCTATATCTTATGGAGTTCCACAGGGCAGCGTTCTTGGACCAACTCTATTCCTGATTTACATTAATGAACTAACTTCATTTACACCTTTAAATGGTAATCTGATCTCCTATGCTGATGATACAGTTCTATTAATTTCAGCCATTTCCTGGCAGAAAGTTTTTGATGCTGCGCAGGATGCTTTTGACAGTGTCTCTAGATGGCTGGGTGAAAATTTTTTGACACTAAATCCTAATAAAACGAAATACATTCCTTTTTCTATTCGGAAATTGAAAGGACTTGGAGATAAATTTCATCTTGTGGCTCACAGTTGCAATTTTGTAGATAAACATAAATTTTCCTGTCCTAAATTAGAGCGTACTAATGAAATAAAATACTTAGGGGTAATGTTAGATTGTCACTTAAATTTTAAAACGCATATTGAATTATTAAGCAAAAGAGTGCGGAAATTAATAATAATATTTAAAAAACTTAGACATACTGCAGATTATAAACTCATAAAGCAAATTTACTTTGCACTCTGCCAATCACTGATATCGTGCTGCATTACTTCTTGGGGAGGAGCGCCAGCTTCTACTATTAAGTGCTTAGAAATTGCCCAGCGTGCAGTATTCAAAGTAAGCACTTTTCGACCTTTCTTATTCCCAACCAAACTTCTCTTTGAAAATTATGAAGTCCTTACCGTCAGACAACTGTTTATCTTAGGTATAATCTTGAAACAACACAGTGAAGTGATTTTTGATCCTCAAAAATGTATAAACTCCAGAATAGTCAGACCTTGTGAACTAAAACAGTTTCATACTTCATTTGTTCGGAGATTTTACTGTGCTTTAGGTCCTTTTGTGTATAACAAAGTTAATAAAATTATTCCAGTTTACTCCCTACATATAAAGCAATGAAAAAGAAAATAACACCTTGGTTACTGACTCTAGGATATGATGAAACGGAAGATCTCTTGACAGTGCAGAGCTAAGTTATTATGGACAGTGCTCGAATCTCTATTGTTAGGTAACTTAAGGTATTCATTAAACTGTATTGTTCACATTATACACACCCTCTTACACGCGCTTACACACACACACACACACACACAAACACACACACACACACACACACACACACACACACACACACACACACACACACACACACACACACACACACACACACACACACCACTCACACTCACACTCATCCACACACACACGTACACTAGCACCATATACAAAAGAGGTACATTTTACATATATATATATATATATATATATATATATATATATATATATATTTTTTTTTTTTCTTTTAATTTCAATTTTACTTTTTGTTTTATACCACATCTGTAATATAAAGAACAAAGTTTTGTAAATTTTCTATAATTGAAATAAATAATTTATGTTTATTATGTCTGGGGAGTGGCGCCATATGCTGAAATACAGGTTTTGGCCTAGTTCGGCAATGGATGCTATTTTTCATGTTATAAGATGAAATATTCCTATGTAGTTTATAAATAGACATATTGTTAACTGATATATATATATATGAAAAATATGGAAATAAAGATTATTATTATTATTATTATTACTATTTCCTTATTCATTCTTTCTACATGACCAAACCACCGAAGCAATCCTTTCTTAATCCTGGTAACAACATCATCTTGCAAACCACACTCTTCTCTTATCACACAATTTCTCACCCTGTCATTCAGATTCAGCCCTAACATACTCCTTAATGACCGCATTTCTTTCTCTTGTTTTTTCTGCCACACCCAATTTTCACTACCTTACATTAAAGTAGGGGCTAATACAGCATTGTGAATTGCCATACGTGCCTTTTTGGACACATTCTGACTTTTCACAATAAACTATTCGTGCTCTGTTTTTATTCTTGTTTTCTTCAAGGCTCATTAATAAAGTATGTAAAGCAATAGCGCGAGTAACTGATTTTTCATTTGCTTACAATGGTATGCCGTGTAGTGGTGGTTAAGGATATCCACTACCCCATATCTTCCCGTGGGTGTCGTAAAAGGCGACAAAGGGAAACAGGCAGGAGATGGGCAGCAGCATCTTCCTGATAACAGCAAAAATACAATAAAAAACTGCGGTTGCCGAACCGCTCGCTAAGCGGGGCAACTATGACAAATACCCCCCTATGAATGTAACAAAGAGACGGCCCCGCTATTCCTGGCTACGGTGGCGACCATGGTAACGGCAGGGCAGGGGGTGTTAAGAATCTCCGGTGGAGGTTCGGTTGCCACCTAAGACGACTCGACCTGGCAATATACTACGCACGCACCCTGAGGACTGACAAGAAGATCGTGGAGCTGGAAGAAGAGATAGACAAGTTACGCTGGCATATTATAGGATTATCTGAAGTCCGAAGAGAGGGGGAGGACACGGTAATCCTCGAATCCGGCAACTTGCTCTATCACCGGGAGGGCGACCATCTGTCCCAAGGAGGTGTCGGATTTATCGTCCACAAGTCTCTCATTAACAACGTTGTAAAGATTGAAGTGTGTCGACGAGGGTTGCGTACCTTATACTCAGAATCACCAAACGGTATTCGCTGAAGGTCATACAGGTTTACGCACCAACCTCGGCACACCCCGATGAGGAGGTGGAGGAAATGTATGAGGATACCTCTAGAGCCATGCATTCCTCCAAAATCCACTATACATCTCAAACTATAAATATATTTCGCCCCCTGTACCCCGCACACGGTTCTGCGGCGGTGCGCAACGGTATGCGGGGTACAGGAGGCGAAATATAATATGAAAATATCGCTCGGTCGATCGAAAAAATATTTATAGTTTGAGGTGGAATATATATTATAGCTCAGTGTAAACGGTTCCATTTAAAAGTATGGTGAGCGATATTAATTTATATTTCGAGATGTAATAGAAACAGAAACAGAAACTTTTTTATTCAATATAGATTATAAATAATACTTATTGAAAGTCACTCTTTTGTTTAATTATCACTGGTTTGAAAAAAAAAACCTCTGTCCTGGGAAGAACCAGCAAGCAACCCAGCGGGACTATTTTTTAAATAACAGCTTACAATAATATATATTATATTATGGCTCCAGTACACGTTGGCCGAGCGCGCTTGGCGAGCGCACTCGGCAGATTTTCGTGGTGCCGTTCACATGTTGGCGTGTTTCATTCTGCGTTGGTAGCTAGATGATGATGGACGTTAGGGCAATCGCGGCCGCTGTCATATACTTATACAGCGCTTCACTCTTCTCAGAGTATTTATTTATATATATATATACATGCGTATATATATATATATATATATATATATATATATATATATATATATATATATATATATATGTGTGTGTGTGTGTGTGTGTGTGTGTGTGTATGTATATATTTGTATTGTATATGTATATTTATGTAAGTACACACTGACTACCTCTATTTCCTTCAACTATCCTTCAATAGGCCTGCTGGAAGAAATTTCATCATGGAATAGGCAGTGCCTTTGTACATAATTATGTTTTTACCATTTTCCTATCGAATTATGTGTGTACATAAACTGTTAAATAAATAAATAAATATTTCCTCATTAGTTCATGTCGCCATGTTAAAACAATTTTATTAAGCCGACACTACAGTATACTCCGACGCGTAACTATGAACTGAACACTCGGCCAACGTATGAACACTGTTTACGGCTTGCGCCAAATTCCTTTGATTTGTGCACGAAAAACCGACACTATACGGCTCGTCGGCGAGCGTTGGCCGCAAACGCCAAATATATACAAAACGGCCCAGTACACGTTGGCCGAGTGCACTCGGCGAGCGCGCTCGGCCGCCGTTTTGTATATATTTGGCGTTTGCGGCCAACGCTCGCCGACGAGCCGTATAGTGTCGGTTTTCCGTGCACAAATCAAAGGAATTTGGCGCAAGCCGCAAAATAAATATTATTATAAATTATCTCTGCGTTTATGTTGCTCAGGGATAATGTAGATTAGGGGCTTCTTTTGGGCTATCATTTATTTTGAAAAAACCCCCAGCGAAGCGGGCACGGGTCAGCTAGTAGATCCTATAAAGGTTTCTTTTTTCCTTTTGAGGTCGGAACCCTAAAAAGGACAAACTGGGATTATTGTTGTATGTGTAGTTTTTTTTCGTTCACTCTGAGAAGAGTGAAGCGCTGTATAAGTATATGACAGCGGCCGCGATTGCCCTAACGTCCATCATCATCTAGCTACCAACGCAGAATGAAACACGCCAACGTGTGAACGGTACCACGAAAATCTGCCGAGTGCGCTCGCCAAGCGCGCTCGGCCAACGTGTACTGGAGCCATTATAGTGAAAAGCGGGCTTTACTGTCACAACTGTCACTGTCAACTGTCATCCTAAAGAGAAGTTTGTTTTGCTTTTGATTTTGTTGATACAGGCACAGAGTACTTTTATATATACGATACAGGATACAGTTAATAGTGGGTATAGGTAAAAATGACTGCGGAAACAATAGGAAATACTACGAAAATCTTTAAATACTCCTTTCCAACTTGTACCAATGAGGATATACTTTTCAAACTGGAAGTGCCAGTTGAGATACCCTATGATGGATCCACACGAGAGCTGGTACAGCGCGTTATTAATATGTTCCATATACCGGTATACTTGGAAGAAGGTAATTTAATTTTGGCTTTTAATCTAATAAGCGAAAATGATTTCGCCAATATTTTTTTTATGTAGGAGTGGGGGCAAACGAGCATACGGTTTACCTGATAAGTGACTACCGCCACCCATGAACGACTGCAACACCAGGATAATTGCAAGTAATGCACCTCCCGGCCTGTTAGACAGGAGTAAACTCTTTTATTGAAGCTCCCTAAGTGGTTTGTTTAGATAAATTCACAATATTTAATAATAATAAATATATATTTAATTCCTGGATGATAGGCTTCCATGGTGTACCATTTTATGTCTCAATATAAGAAAGATAGAGGACAATATTTTGAAAAAACTTGAGGCTACATTAATTTATTGGCTTGTAAATTTCCTTACTATCATTAACTAGTTTGACTTTAATAGTTTAATTATAACTCTTGACAATATCTTTCAGAATTGAATGAAAAGTTAGCACACTATATATCTGAAGAAACAAAAGACTTTCACAATAAAAGGGATGAAAAGCTTCTAAATCAGTTAAAAAATGGTGAGCTGAATGTAGAGGGTATTGTGAAAAACTGGGAGAAGCTATTTAAGGAGAATGTTGTGGAGTTCGCAGAACAGAAAGGCACTTCTGATGAGGAGGTAACAAAATGATAGCAGGATTGATTTGCAACCGTAAACTAAAATGTGTTTTATAGAAACTGTATCTATCCTCGATTAAGAATTAAAAGTAGATGACTAAGATAGAATGTTTCGTAACCAGTAAAAGAGTTATCTACACTCACCATATGAAACATAGCAGTATTATGCTGCTATTTCTCACTGGTATTTTATGAGAGTGTGGTACTTACCAAGTCAAGGCAATCAATTAGTAAACCATATATATAGATGCAGAATGGACTGCAATGATATAATTGTTTTAACTACAATTGTGTATTATGAAAAGTGATATAAAAACTTTTATTAGATAATTTAAAATTAAAAGTTTTGTATAGCCAACTTCAATATAAGTTATTTAAGAAAAACTCAAAAACTATTGGTCTGACCTTGATCAAATTCATATGGGACCACACGAGAACTATCAGCTTTCATAAAAATAAGAATCATCGAAATCGGTTCACCCAGTACAAAGTTATGAGGTAACACACATAAAAAAAACATACAGTTGAATTGAGTACCGTCTCCTTTTTGGAAGTCGGCAGAAAATTAAGCCAACTGCTAAGAAATATAAAGAATAAAAGAATCTCCACATAATAACTTTTCAACTTGGTACTAGACACAGTGTATAGAAGAATTTAAGGTTTCTATGGATTTAACATATTTCAATAATAAATTATGGTTTAGCTTAGGATACAAGTACAATAATATAATAGTCCACCGCTGAATAAAGGCCATCCGCGAGGAGTGCAAAATACATTCTTAAGTGACCTATATCTGCTGATTTCCTAAATTTCTTACCAGGTTATCACTCCATCTACTAGGGGTCTAATATATTCTACATAATATAAATAATAATTTATACATATAATTATACTAAGCAATAGAGCACTTCTTCTTACTGGGTCCATTCTTCTTATTTTTTAATATTAGGGCAGCATGTAAGCTAAAGTAATAATAAGTGCTAATGCAAGCAGTGTATGTTGGTAACCTTCAACTAAGTTCTAACAAAAAAAACACTGGTACAATGTCATTCCTGATTACTAAAAATTGATAACTAACTAATCCCCAAAGATCACAATGTACTTGTAACCCTGGTTTAAAGTAGAATTCAGGTCTATATAGGCAATAAAATCAATTAATGTTAGACTGTTACATTGTTTGTCATTGTAATGTTAAAAAATCATATAAGATCACATTGTTCCTTAACAAGAATTTTTGCATTATGTAAAGAATACCAAAGCAGAATAGCTCTATACTCAACCTCGATGGCTGGCATCAAAAAAGTAGTTATCGGTGATTAAGGCTATGTACTAACGGAAGTTTCTTCATTATTAATTTAAATTTAAATTATTATTTTATTACAGTTAAATTGTACCTACGTACTGTTGTAAAGTCAATGTAAATTTTCTTTTTTTATGCATTTGGGGCCTGCCTGTAAGTAATGCGACATTTAGTTATAACAATTGTGTTGTCATCACATATGTATGTAACAGTGCAGTCATTGTTGTGAGCCTGATAAAATAAATAAATAAAATAAATATATTTTTAGGTGTTCGCTGCAGCATATCACAAGCTTGTGCACTCACCCGCACTAGATACCATTCTGCAGGTTGAAAACTCTTATGCCAAAACTGTTATGACTATGCTGAAGAGCCGTGATGAGGATATACAGAAACTTACAAAGAGGTAAGTAATACCATGTGTAAGATGAAGCTGTAGTCGTAATTTCTTTCTAATTCTAGAGTATGATTCCTCACACTATCCAGTGTAGACACATGAGAGTGTGTCAGCCATGTTTGAGGAATAGGTGACACACTGGCAGCATGTATATTTTACCTAACCATTTATACATGGTAGAGTCATGCTTCATTTATATTATGGTTGTAACAGAAAGGGGTCTCAACCAAGGAAGGAACATTCTCTCATAGTTTATCAGCATAAAATAGCAGCTTAATGCTGCTGTGTTTCATATGATGACTGTTGAGGACCGAAGACCCTTTTTACTAAAAATGTGGCATTTCATCTAAGTGCTCAGTGGTGACAACACATATGCATTTTGATTCTTAACCAAGAATAGATGTAGATGTCTATGGGCCGTTGTATTCACATACCATGAATTGGACTGTGTGTTTGTTTGTACTTTATACTTTGTTATACTATAATAAAGAAAAAGCTGTTTATGACCCTCCTTCCACATAACACAAAACTATTAGAACTATAAAACTGTAACTTTTCTCTGTACAGGTGTCAAACTACATATCAATTCATAAAATCACCTTTCCAATCAATTAGAGTATTATACATTCTTATAACTATCATTTAAGGAACCGGTATAAAACTTCAATCTTATAAAAGACAGCAATTCAATCAAAGATTTTCTGGGGCGTCCATGCCGCAGTCTGCAGACTGTGAACATGTTCAAGGTCATCCTCACCATTACATCAGATTGGATAGACTACAAATTCTCACATAAAAACACCGATTCCTACCAAGGATAATTCACAGGACTATTGAAACTAAATAACATCGTAATTTCAATAGAGAAGACGGATGGGTGCTACCATCTGCTTGGGATCCTATTGCGGAACTTAGAAGCTAACATTGTAAGCTCGTTCTGTGTAGATCACATCCGAAAATTAATATTGAAAAGCTGACAGTAGTTGGGCTAACTATGACATCGAGACATCAACTAGCTCAGTCCCCCCCCCCCTCCCGTGACCATGGGTGCTGTAAAGCACTCGCAACATAGAGAATTTAAAAGTTAAAATTAAATGCTTTACAATCAGTAAAACTAATTTCATTTAATGTGTAATATTCGCATAAATATAAGAAAATCATAATAATTCCTAATCTACTCCCACACATTCAGGCAAACTGAAGAAATGGAAGAGAAAATGCGTCTTCTAAACGCAGGTACAACAGAAGAAGAGATAAATGCCCTCGCTGCAAAGCACTTTGAGGAGCAAAGTCTTGCAGCGGGAAGATGGGATTCGCAGTTGGATGCTCTGAAGCATACACAAAGAGCTACACACCGAGCTTGGCTTATGACCACACTGGAGCAGTACCAAGGCGAGACTGAACTCAGCACACCCAGGTAATGCATATTATAAACTGTTTAACTGATTTGTGACTGCCTTATTGGTCTATTGGTGACAAGCACAACTGCTGATCATGTGGTCCTCGGTTCAAATCCCAGGTCAGGCCAAAAATCAATGATTGAGTTTTTCTGTTAGAAAATTCTCAAGGTCAAGAAATTGGCGGTGTTTCACCCTCATACTTCGGAAAGCAACTAAAGGGCCGGTTTTGCGCCTGTTCTCTAGTCATGTTGGATTTATGTATCTAGGTTCAAAGTTTACAAGAAATGGAAAGTGTGAGAGTGATATCGAAAGAAGAGTGAATGCAGTAAAACATGGTGAATGGAGCTTTGCACTCCTTTATGAGCAGTTAGAAGGTGTCTAACAAGGCTCGTTTGGCTGTGCATGAGGGGGTGTTGGTTCCGACACTCATGTACAGAAGTGAAAGCTGGGTATGGCAGAAGAAACATGAAAGCAGAATAAATGCAGTTGAGATGAGTGTTAAGAAGTATGATAGGAGTAAAAATGAGTGACAGAATAAGAATCTGCTAAAACTGTATCATGTACTTTCACGACGATTTCCGGAGTCATGACGCTTTTTGGACGTCCGGGGCGCGCTTCATCTTGGACACATGTACAACCGCGTTTAAACTCAGCAACCCAGTTTTTTACAGTGGCATAAGAAGGAGCACATTCACCCAAAACATTATTTAACTCGTCATAGATATCTTTCCCCTTCATGCCCTTCGTATGAAGAAACTTTATCACCGCTCTTTGTTCAATTTTATCCATTTTGAAAACAGTTGTCGAAATATATTTTCAAATGACAAAAAATCAATAAAATTTTCACGCCACCAAATTCAAATTTAGAACACAGGTGGCCAGAGATACAAATTTAAAAATAACAATTTTTTTTTAATTTTAACTTTTTAAATAGCAGTGGTTAGTTACTTATCATCCCGCCTACGTACTAAGGTTAAAGGCATCACTCATCAGAGGTATTAAAATAGTTTCTAATATAAATAATATTAACCAGTGTAGGTGCTGCTGACACAGCACACACATGCGTCACCCGTGTCAATTTGTATGTAATTCTCGTGAAATACCATAACGACCGCCACTGGCACCGGAGTAGTTCAGTTCCTTTTGAGTGTACTAGGCGAACACACGTCTCGGGCTCGATAAAATAATCGACTTCAACCAGTAATGTGAACAGTCTAATCATTTTCCTCCCTACACAAGCCTCTATGATACACCAGCCACCAAGTATCACAACAGTGGTGACCCCGACGTGATATGAACTATGAAGCAACAGTTATGTTTGTGTGTCCCTGGGTCTGGCATTTATGGATCTTATGTGTAATATAAATATATTTTCAATATCAACTGGTGATCCCCACACCACCCTACTGCTGAGCTACGCTCTGCTATATTATACGGTTGTATTACGAATAGGTCGACTCGAACGGCCAGGTGGATGCTGTGTCCCATAGACATCTACATCTATCCTCAGATTGAGAATCAAAATGCAGATGTGCTGTCATCCCTGAGGACTAAAACGGAATGCCTCGTATCCAGTAAAAATGGTCCCCGTTTCTCTACACTCACCATACAAAAGACAGCAGCCTTGAAGTGGTATTGTACACTATAATTCTGTGATAGCGTGGTCCTACCCCGATCGAGGCGACCCATTCGTGCTACAACTATATATAATATAGCTGCAACATGGCTTTACCACGTATAACTTTAATTTGTAAACACATTGTATTTGCAGCAACTCTCCACTCGCGACATTCCCTGTGGAACCCACGCTGCTAGCCGCGCCTAAGCCTCGACTGGAGGAGAGCTTCACCATCCACCTCGGGAGCCAGCTAAAGCAGACACACAACATCCGGCTTGTTGCAGCGGATATGTTGGACCTTTGCGCTGTTAACCATGATGACAAGTGAGTAGCGCTTGCGAATGAACTTGTGTTCCTAGCTTCACTTAGATTTTTTAATCTATATCTATACAAATAAACAAAATATAAGTGTCTGTTTGTAGTGTCAAAATAGCATCTTTTTACTAAATGCATATGAAAGTATATACGGTACTTATAACAAAAAAACAATTTTTGACTGGCTGTCTATCGGTCAATCTGTCTGTTTTTCCGACTAGTATCCGAAATGGCTGGACCGATTCTGACGGGACTTTCACTGGCAGATAGCTGATGTCATAAGGAATAACTTAGGTTACTTTTATTTTAGAAAAACAATTAGGATTCCGCGCGAATTCCAACTGTTTTATATTACACGTGGGCGAAGTCGCGGGAACAGCTAGTTTAATAAATAATATAATAGTTACAAACACACACATGCATTGATCATGAGCTGTGCTGATTCTAGTGAAAATACTAAGAAACAGTAATGAAAATATAGCGTTTGAAAAAGAACCAATTTTTTTTACAATAAGGTTGACAAACTAGCTTACAGTCCACCTAATGATAAGTGGATTCTGTGGCCCATAAACATCCACATTTATCCTTATTTTAAATTCAAAATGCAGATGCATTGCTACCCCTGCGGACTAAGATGGAATGCCTCGTTTCCAATAAGAAGGGTCTGAAGGTTCTCTACACTCACTCTACCAAACAGCAGCATTAAGCCGCTATTTTATGCTGGTATTCTGACACAACGTGGTCCCATCACGGTCGATACGACCCGTTTGTGCTACAATCATAATGTTACGAGCTTGGGGTTCGACACAATTAAAAACTGCCGAGTGAATTACCAAAAGTGACACACTAATTATGTACCAGTCATTGATGGTGGCCAGTCATTGATGGTGGCGCACAACAAAAATATAGCTCTACCGTGACTCTACCACTTATAAATAATAGTTAAAAATCACTCAAACAAACAACACGCTTTGTTCGTGTGCTGTGTTGATCCTAGTGGGAATACTTAAGTAATAGTAATGATATTATTGCATTAGCATTGGTTCTGATTAAAAAAATAATACCTATATCCGTCTCTCTCCTGGACAAAGGCCTCATCGTCTCTGAGAGAGTTTTAGGGCAAGTGTCTGCCATAATGCCCTAATGCTTTGGTGGAGTTTACGTGTCTTCGAATTGTATTTTATTTCATATACATGCAGTGCCGATCTCATCATGATATTTTCTTTGACGGCATGAATCTACCCTGCAACGGGATAGGTCTATGCCCAGCATTGGAATTTAATGGGCCGATAATGATAAAGGAGTTATGAGCATAAGGACACCTTCAGGAAAGAATGAGGTGATGGTTTTTCGTTGCAACGACGCGACCGTACTTACTAAACGGTTGCCTCTACACTGCGCTCAGTACGAATGCGTGGTGTTTCAACTGGAGTATTGAGCGTGGTGTGTTAGTGCTACTGATGCTGTGTTAGTACGACTGGTCCAATGTTGTGGTGCGACTGATGCTATGTGTTAGTACGACTGGTCCGATGTTGTGGTGCAACTGACACCATGTGTTAGCACGACTGGTTCAATGTTGTGGTGCGACTGATGCTATGTGTTAGTACGACTGATACAATGTGGTGGTGCGATTGAAGCTATGTGTTGGTACGACTGCGACTGGTCCAATGCTGTGGTGCGACTGATGCTATGTGTTAGGACGACTGGTCCAATGTTGTGGTGCAACTGATACCATGTGTTAGCACGACTAGTTCAATGTTGTGGTGCGACTGATGGTGTTAGTACGACTGACCTAATGTGGTGGTGCGATTGATGCTATGTGTTGGTACGACTTGTCCAATGCTGTGGTGCGACTGATGCTATGTGTTAGTACGACTGGTCCGATGTTGTGGTGCAACTGACACCATGTGTTAGCACGACTGGTTCAATGTTGTGGTGCGACTGATGCTATGTGTTAGTACGACTGATACAATGTGGTGGTGCGATTGAAGCTATGTGTTGGTACGACTGCGACTGGTCCAATGCTGTGGTGCGACTGATGCTATGTGTTAGGACGACTGGTCCAATGTTGTGGTGCAACTGATACCATGTGTTAGCACGACTAGTTCAATGTTGTGGTGCGACTGATGGTGTTAGTACGACTGACCTAATGTGGTGGTGCGATTGATGCTATGTGTTGGTACGACTTGTCCAATGCTGTGGTGCGACTGATGCTATGTGTTAGGACGACTGGTCCAATGGTGTGGTGCCACTGATGCTCAGTGTTAGTACGACTGGTCCAATATGGTGGTATGACTGACGCTATGTGTTAGTACGACTGGTCCAATGTGGTGGTGCGACGTATGCTATGTGTTAGTACGACTGGTCCCGTGTGGTGGTGCGACTGATGCTCAATGTTAGTACGACTGGTCCAGTGTGGTTGTGCGACTGATGCTCAGTGTTAGTACGACTGGTCCAATGTGGTGTTGTGACTGACGCTATGTGTTAGTACGACGACTGGTCCAATGTGGCGGTTCGAGTGATGGTATGTGTTAGTGCGACTGGTCCAATGTGGTGGTGCGACTGATATCATGTGTTAGTACGACTCGTTCAATGTTGTGGTGCGACTGATGCCATGTGTTAGTACGACTGGTCCAATGTTGTGGTGCGACTGATGCTATGTGTTAGTACGACTGATCCAATGTTCTGGTGCAACTGATGCTGTGTTAGTACGACTGGTCCAATGTTGTGGTGCAACTGATACCATGTGATAGTACGACTGGTCCAGTGTGGTGGTGCGACTGATGATCTATGTTGGTACGACTGGTCCTATGTTGTGGTGCGACTGATGCTATGTGTTAGTACTACTGGTCCAATGTTGTGGTGCAACTGATGCTATGTGTTAGTACGACTGGTCCAATTTGGTGGTGCGACTGATGCTATGTGTTAGTACGACTGGTCCAATTTGGTGGTGCGACTGATGCTATGTGTTAGTACGACTGGTCCAATCTGGTGGTGCGACTCATGCTCAGTGTTAGTACGACTGGTCCAATGTGGTGGTGCGACTGATACTCAGTGTTATTACGACTGGTCCCATGTGGTAGTGTGACTGACGCTATGTTTTGGCGCGACTGGTGCGATGTGGCGTTGTGACTGACGCTATGTGTTGGATTGGCTGGTGCGATGAGGCGGTGTGACTGATGCTGTGTTGGCGCGACTGGTGCAATGTGGCGGTGAGACTGACCCTATGTGTTGGCGCGACTGGTGTGATGTGGCGGTGTGACTGACGCTATGTGTTGGCACGACCGGTGCGATGTGGCGGTGAGACTGACGCTATGTGTTGGCGCGACTGGTGTGATGTGGCGTTGTGACTGACGCTATATGTTGGCGCGGCTGGTGTGATGTGGCGGTGTGACTGACGCTATGTGTTGGCGCGACTGGTGCGATGTGGCGGTGAGACTGACGCTATGTGTTGGCGCGGCTGTTGTGATGTGGCGGTGTGACTGACGCTATGTGTTGGCGCGACCGGTGCGATGTGGCGGTGAGACTAACGCTGTGTTGGCGCGACTGGTGTGATGTGGCGGTGTGACTGACGCTATGTGTTGGCGCGACTGGTGTGATGTGGCGGTGTGACTGACGCTATGCGTTGGCGCGACCGGTGCGATGTGGCGGTGAGACTAACGCTGTGTTGGCGCGACTGGTGTGATGTGGCGGTGTGACTGACGCTATGCGTTGGCGCGACCGGTGCGATGTGGCGGTGAGTCTAACGCTGTGTTGGCGCGACTGGTGTGATGTGGCGGTGTGACTGACGCTATGTGTTGGCGCGACTGGTGTGATGTGGCGGTGTGACTGACGCTATGCGTTGGCGCGACCGGTGCGATGTGGCGGTGAGACTAACGCTGTGTTGGCGCGACTGGTATGATGTGGCGGTGTGACTGACGCTATGTGTTGGCGCGACTGGTGTGATGTGGCGGTGTAACTGACGCTATGCGTTGGCGCGACCGGTGCGATGTGGCGGTGAGACTAACGCTGTGTTGGCGCGACTGGTGTGATGTGGCGGTGTGACTAACGCTATGTGTTGGCGCGACTGGTGTGATGTGGCGGTGTGACTGACGCTATGCGTTGGCGCGACCGGTGCGATGTGGCGGTGAGACTAACGCTGTGTTGGCGCGACTGGTGTGATGTGGCGGTGTGACCGACGCTATGTGTTGGCGCGACTGGTGTGATGTAGCGGTGCGACTGACGCTATGCGTTGGCGCGACCGGTGCGATGTGGCGGTGAGACTAACGCTGTGTTGGCGCGACTGGTGTGATGTGGCGGTGTGACTGACGCTATGTGTTGGCGCGACTGGTGTGATGTGGCGGTGTGACTGACGCTATGCGTTGGCGCGACCGGTGCGATGTGGCGGTGAGACTAACGCTGTGTTGGCGCGACTGGTGTGATGTGGCGGTGTGACTGACGCTATGTGTTGGCGCGACTGGTGTGATGTGGCGGTGTGACTGACGCTATGCGTTGGCGCGACCGGTGCGATGTGGCGGTGAGACTAACGCTGTGTTGGCGCGACTGGTGTGATGTGGCGGTGTGACCGACGCTATGTGTTGGCGCGACTGGTGTGATGTAGCGGTGCGACTGACGCTATGCGTTGGCGCGACCGGTGCGATGTGGCGGTGAGACTAACGCTGTGTTGGCGCGACTGGTGTGATGTGGCGGTGTGACTGACGCTATGTGTTGGCGCGACTGGTGTGATGTGGCGGTGTGACTGACGCTATGCGTTGGCGCGACCGGTGCGATGTGGCGGTGAGACTAACGCTGTGTTGGCGCGACTGGTGTGATGTGGCGGTGTGACTGACGCTATGTGTTGGCGCGACTGGTGTGATGTGGCGGTGTGACTGACGCTATGCGTTGGCGCGACCGGTGCGATGTGGCGGTGAGACTAACGCTGTGTTGGCGCGACTGGTGTGATGTGGCGGTGTGACTGACGCTATGTGTTGGCGCGACTGGTGTGATGTGGCGGTGTGACTGACGCTATG